CACACACACACACACACACACACACCCTTCTTCTGTCTCCCGCCTTTTGTCTCCAACTGGGATGCCTCTATAAACTACACCCCAACATTTCCCTCTTTCATCACACGTTCACACAATTAACTTCCGCTCAGTCTCTCGTAGAGATAAAATTGATATTCTTGCTAGACTAGCATCAATTTCTTTATAATTAGCCCCTTGGCCTAGCACCCACTTAGTCACTTCTGTCTAGCCTGTAACCACACGTAATCCTAAGACCCTCTTCGTTAGGCCCATTTCCCTGCTAGTATACAGCGCTCGTATAGTTTTTCTCTCAGTTGCTCCTGAGGAAGCCCACGAGGCGAAACGTTGAGCTATTAAACAAATTATTAATATTTTATATTGTTATGTTGTTTTGTCTGAAATTCAAACAAGACTCTCCCTCCTACTCTGCTTATCAAACAATGATGATGATGATGATGATGATGATGATGATGATGATGATGATGATGATGATGAGATCAATCTTATTGTTGTAATTCTGTCCCGTGGTCATCTGTTCGCCAAGCTGAGTCCGTATCAAACACAGCATGATGGCCCATTTACCGTTAATTGAAAGTTGAAAGGATTTCTCTTTCCCTCTAAGACGAGGCGCTGCAATAGACAACAATTTGGAACAGTTGCTCTTCAGTTCACGTGTACTTGTATCAGTGTTACTTTGCGGTTTTAGTAGCTTTTCGTGTACTGCAGACGCACTGTGCTCACAAATCTCCATTGAATTCGTTTAGTTTAAATTAAATAAGGATAGGCTAGATCTAGGTGTCGAACAGATGCAGTCTAGAAACCTTGTGACCTTCTGACCAACTGTCGTTGAATGTGATTAACACGTAGTCCTTCGACATACGGTTCATTTTTGCCACTCTAGCGATATGAATGAGCAGTGAGCAGTGGCGTCGATTAAAACATTGTTATGAATAATTTTTTTAGGCCCACAACTTTTCCACTTCTTCCTACATTTATCCAAGGTTCAAAATAAAATTCAACAGTGAAAATGTCGCTGCACTAAACCGCAACAAAAGTGAAGCAACCAGGTCACCCTTATATATCTCCTGTTCATCAAAATCACTTGCTAATTTTCAGGTCGCGCCACCGGCAATATTGTAAAGTCTATTTTAGTTGCTCAAAATCAAAGAGGTGAGTGAATTATCTTGTAGTAAAGGATCTTTGATAGACTCTAGACCAATACGATCTTAACCTCTTTGGTTTGGGCCTACACTTACAAAACCACATTTCATCATTGTTTCAGTCGACGCGTATTAAAATTAATAAATAGTTTCCCGCAACGACAAGAATTATTTGGTGTGAAAAGTTGCACCCGTGGGAATCGAACCATAGACAATGTCACAAAAATAGTTTCTGTCTCTTGTTCTGGTGTTAATGTACCGGGAAATATCAAATTAGAAGAGGTCCCTTTGTACTGGACTCGTCACTTCATGTTATATATTCTTTTACAGCGTGGAATACATGTTAGGCTAGAAGGTTTCAAAGGCCATTGGAAGTCATGTTTGATTCGTAGATTTGGCGTAGATTAATCCGAGTGTGACGCACTTCCCTAGTTATGCTATCAACAGTGACTTGGCGTTCATTCTCTAGGCCTATTTGGTCTTGGTCTCAACCTGTTTCATACAGCTTTGGTCCCTTTGACTCATGGCGTCAACAGTGGGCCAGCTACGTTGTGCACAGTGTAGCCTTAAAGAGTCCTGCTACTTCTTCACATAGCTTATCAACCCGAAACAACACTTTAAAAGAACAGAGTTTTTGGCACTTTCAAAGTCGTGAAATCGGTATAAACTTCCTGAGAATCTATACAAGCAGTGTAAAAAAATATATAAACAGTAAAACAGGTAAACATGTATGATGACTTGAAGAGAGCCCACAACAAACTCAACAAAGCGTATGTGTATGCCCCACATGCTGTCACAGTCAAAGCCATAGTTTCTCAGAACTGTAACTGTAAGCCACGTCTATGGCGACCTTGCCACTGGGATACAGCCGTCAAGTTGCTCCTGGGGCAATGTCCGACGTCGCTCGCTTCTCTGAAAGTCCCAGACAAAACCGGGACAAGCCCGGGCACAGGCCAGCGGACTACCAACCGCCCTCAGCTCTGTCCCTCCGCTCACGCTCTCGCCTTACTGCGTCGGAGACTCACTTCCAGGGTGGTCCTTGCTTTGAGAATTGGCGAACAGTATGGTGAGCATACTTTTGGACAATATAATTATCCCATTTCGTAAGGGAAAGAGCTGTCTAAAAGATTTCAAATACTCTATCATAAAGACTTATATTTTTTAAACAAATGAACACATTCCCTAACGCACTGGCCAGATTCAATTAACCCGTACTTGAAATTTCTGAAGTAGTTTGGAAGAACAATATTCTTTCTTCAAATCGTATTTTGCATTATTCTACCAAAGTATCGGGAAAAAACAGCATTGTGTAACGCTCATTTTCCTAATTGGACACGTGTCCGCCATTACATAGTCACATGAAATTTAAAAAAGTAGACCAATATTGTCTAAATTTACTTTTGTCGTGAATAGCTGAAAAGGGTTGCTGCTGCTACTACTACTACTACTACTACTACTACTACTACTACTACTTCTACTACTACTACTACTACTACTACTACTACTACTACTACTACTACTACTACTGCTACTACTGCTGCTGCTGCTTCTGCTGCTGTTGCTGCTGCTGCTGCTGCTGCTGCTGCTAAAGTAGTCTCCCCTTAAGATCCCGGTCCTTGGGAACAAGGAAAATGCGGCATCTTGACCGAGTACCCCGAGGGTGTAAGACATAATTGTGTTGTGACAGCACAAATAAAGATTCGAAGAACGAAAGACGGGCTTACGGCCCCAAAAAATTTGACCACATAAAGCCGAGTACGGGCATCAGTCTGTCTTGTGAATTCAGGCACAGAGCTGAAAAAGTGCAATAGTCAGGACCGATGAGTTCATAGTTCGGTGTGTGTGTGTGCAGGATTTTGGGGAAGAGAGAGAGCGAAAGAAAGAGGGTGTATTATTATGTATTAATCGACAGTTAATGTGTGTAGTCAGAAAGCGATACTGGTAAGTCCTTCTTCTATTTTCTCCCTTTGCTTTTTTGTCTATCTATCATTCTTGCTTTTCCAGAGCACTAAATGACCTTTGCCTTGTTTATGTGCTTCTCCTTACTCAAACCAAACCTGAAAGTAAATGGTGGTAGTACGTTTTCTTCAATTTCATTAATCAACATTGTGCTGTGGCTTTTTGATTGTTTTGTCTTTTAATCTTAAAAAGTTCTTGCTTCTACTGTGTACTCCTCTTTACTTATTAAAAAACGTTTTGAAAAGCTACTTTCTCACCCGTTAGTTGTTGGAAGCCCTTGATTAACGGGGGCGCTTTTGTGGCATTTATGACGAACATAGGTGCATCCTTTTCTTCAGTTCTAACCTCACAATGTTTTATTGGAACTGGGCATGGTGTTTTTATCAGAGCAGTCAGCCAGCAGCTTTCAGACTGAGAACCCGCACTGTCCTCGGGAAAGAAGAAGTCTTGGCAACGAGACGGGCCGGGCGGGAACGACTGGGGATCACAATGGCGTCTTGGGGGAAATTGTGGGCATTTTGCAGGAAGAAAGCATTCTCACTCAACTTCTTCAGATCGTGGACTCCATGAAAAACAAACCAGGTGAGTATCATTTTTTAAGCAAAACGTATCCAACTTTCCCCCTCTTTCATAAAGGTTGAAAGATTTTTGTTTGATTCAATCTTCTGTTTATAGATTTGAAATTTACATCAGTTTAAAAGGAATGTAAAATTGAGCTGTAAGCATGACATTCTAATGAAGTAAACCTGATATCATGATTTTCTATCTCAAACATGTGTAGGCGCGCTCTTATGACCGTATGCAGTTGCGAGCGCCGTAAAACTCTTACTAAAACAAAACAAAACAAACATTTGAATTATTTATCTTCGGACATTCTACTACCTCGCTACCTTTTCTTTTCCTGCTCAAAAGTTGTAGACATACCCGTCTACAAGCTGAGCAGTCCTCATCCATGTTTTAATTTCTCAGTTCAGCCAGCTGAGTGGAAAAATTTGTTGAATATACCGCAAAGTTACATGTGTTTGGAAAACGACCTGTCTTCAACATGTTTTTTAAAGCTAAACTATCTGTGGCTTATTTTAATAAGGAATTCAGCTGAGACTGGATGAGGTTTGGACTGAGCTTGGCACTTTGATCTGTCGCATGATGCCAGTTTGCTTAACATGTTACCCCCTTGTTCTGCCCGTTCTCGGCGCGGACGTGCAATCTTAATTAAGACTGCCAAGCTGACCACGGGCTCCACCATGTTGGACTCTTATGACTGTGATATGTTACGCCCCATCGGCACAGTTTAGATTATGTAGAATGCAGGCTGCTTCGACCCTAAATGTCAAGGTCAGCCAAGGCTGAGGAGAAATAACGTCCCAGCAGAAAGACGGAGATACTTGACAAAAATTATCCCCACATTGGATTAGAACGCACATCTTCTGCGTGCTACAGGGGGGCACGGAGCCGCTACACCAAAAACGCCGGTGTGTTGGACGCTTGATACTTTTGAAAGGTACTTTACCATGATCATAATATGTCACAGAAACCAACCGGCCGCACTTGGTGACTACTACAGAGTGGGTTACATTCTATTACCTGATTTACTTACTGCCATTTTCATGTTTTAAAAAATATTTAAAAAAGAGACTAGACAAGAACATAATTATTATAAATCATCTGCACCACCGAGAAGAGTATATATTGTGGTGACACCAAAGAAATTATGGACCGCTAGAACGCTTTCACTTCCTGTTTCAGAGTGTGATTCTGAGATACACGTGATGAGAACTCATTCAGGCGTAGATCGAGACCCCAATGGTTGGAATCTGGAAGAAAGCGGAGATAAGACAAGCCACACGACTGGTTTTGGACTACCCAAAGTTGACGAAACGGTTTCTTATGGTTCTTGCAGTTTTCTGCGGACGAATAATGAGTTGGAGAGCAAGAACTCATGGGAAAGATTCATCAGGGAGTGTGCGAAGAGAGATGAAATTGTAGACATTCACATCGAAAATCACAACGCATTGAAACAACTTTATGCCCAAGGGGAAGGGGAAAATCATTTAACTAACACATCTCAAGACATGATACAGCATTCTACTGAAAAGAGTATGGTTTTAACTGAAACTGAAAACACTTTTCCCAAGCCAAATACACATCAACTTGCGGATTCTTTAGTCGTATTGAATTCTACATTCGAAGACCTTAAATCTCAAAGGGATAGGAACTATGACAGTAACACGTCTACTGTACATCAAGTAGGAGATATGCCTTCTATCCAAAACCAACATTTTACAGAAAGTTTCACCGCTGCCGCCTACTTCAACCAAAGGCTTATCCACCCTAGCAAACTATTCCAAGATATAGCTGCAGGGAGGAGCGTGCCCACGGGGGACTATGAGGTGGACTCCCAATTGAATATGCTGCACTGTAATGTTAGTGATGAAAACCTTAATGACCATATTCTTCTGAGCAACTGCCAAGTGACGAACAAGGGCAATGGCAATCAGAAAGAAAAGGTCGACAATAGAACAATGGGGCATTATTTTCCAAATTCACCGAAACACCTCCAAAGCCAGGCTGCATGGGATGTAAATTTCCCTGCTGACAGAAACTCAGTTGGCAAACGCCGTCCTCAAACGATCACGTCACACGAAATGGACGAGACATGTGAAAGGAAAGATATCCAGACCACACACAGAGGTTGCAACTTTAGTTCCAAAATAATGAGCGGCCAAGACATGAACAGCCGGAGCGAACAGGAACGTCGGAGTCCACGGGCAAGCTTTGGGAATCCATTCGTACATCGACCTAGGATCACATACAAGAGGAACCCAACTGACATGCAGTCACACAAAGCTCCCGTGTTCGTCTTCCCTTCTTCTCACGCTTGTGGAAGGCAGCAGTCGTCATCGATGGCGAAGGTAAACGTAGATGTGTGTCTTTTATTACTGGTAATAATGAAATAACTATTTCGATTTTTTAAATTTCGCTACTGTTAGTTCCCGTTAATTAATGTGAAATGCTTGTTTTAGAATTAGAGATTTTTTTTCAGCTGAACACATAAAAGTTCTTTGACTACCAATAGACCTAGATCAATGCCATAAAATCACTAGGTCTATGAGCTCAACTGATTTAATATGCCATGTAAAATATTGCTCTTAACTGCATGTACCTTTCCGTACTAAAGCTTTAATCTGGATCGTCGGAACTAAAACATCCCTTTAAGTTGACACCCAATCTCAGTCCTACAACTAGCTTCAAGGTTCTGATTCAATGTCGTAGGTGCTTATTATATTCCATGTCGAATTTTTACTCTGACTCCACGCAAGACTGTCGTCTATAGTGTAGCAGTTAAGCGCTTTCCCATGTTTTCTATGCAGAGGAATTTTTATCGAGTATCTCGGTCTTATTGTTGTTTTACTGTTGGGATGTTGTGTCCCTCTCATACTGGGTTGGCCTTGACTGGCACGGTTGGAGCCTGTACCTGAACTATCTAAATTGTATCGACGAGGACATAAAAGTCATCTAGATCTACTCTTTAAACAATTCTTCACACAGATGATTCCCTTGGATTTCAATCTTAACGCTGTGTACAAAATGAACGGTCAAGAGTACCTTGACCTCGCCGGCCCCTCGCTGCCTCAGCCTAGCTTGCACGGGTGTGGCGGGTCACATTCTGAGGAGCGAAAGTTCTCAAACAGTCTCGGCTCTGGCCGGGGTGACCAACAAGTCCAGACGGCGTCAACGTGTGACCTTTGTGTGATGAGTGGCGTACAGCATGCAGGCCAAGGAGAACCCGCGGCGCCCATCTTGCCGTGTCTCCAAAAATCCTTTGCTAGTGACACAGCAGTAAAGAAAAGGTACCGTAGTCATTAATTGTGTAATCCGGAAAGGTGGTCTTCTGTACTCTTCCCATAGTACAGGTTTCGATTAACATTTTCTTGTGTGTATTCTCAGAGTTGATCATTCAAAGGCCTGTGGGGGGGGGGTTTTCGGGGGTAGGGGGAGGAGAGAAGGGGTAGCAGATTTGTGTTTCTGTTTGTTGTTGAGGTGTGTAGGGGGGGGGAGGAATGTTGTTTCGTTTGCTTCATTTTATTGTTTGTTAAGCTGGGTTTTGTTTTTCCTTTTCTTTCTTGTCTTTTCTTGCGCGTTATTTTCTTTGTTGTCTTTTCCTGCTGTTTTTTGTCTTTGTTTTTTTGGGGGGGGTAGCTCTTTCAAATGGGGGGGGGGAGTCGGGGGTGGGGGGAGGGTGAATAGATGTTTGTCTGGGTTTTTTTTCTTTATTTGTTTGTTTACTTGGTTTCTTTTGTTGTTTATTATGAGTTCGTTTTTGTTTTGTAGGATTTTTGCTTGTCTTTTTCGGGCGGGGAGGGGGTATTAGCAACGAATGGCAGATAATGCGTATGCTTTATACGGTATAATGACCCGTCGTCGGTGAAAAGCATTTGGGGGGGGGGGGTTTGTAATAATTTTTATCATCAAAGGGTACCGGCCCAGTGGCATTGTGGCCTAATATATCTATCGTATTATTTTGCACTTTCCAAGTAGAATTAACCGTTGTCAAAGACATTTTCCTCCCACTCCCCCTCCCCCTTCTCCACCTTTCGAAATTCGAAGGGATACCATGACACCTACCAGATGCAGTGAAGTCTTGTCTGCGCGCCAGATGGGGCCTGTTGTGGTGGTGGGTGGGACCTCCGCACTACTTCTGGCCATCAGCATACCTCTGGGGGTTACCGTAACACCTTTCATCAGACTCCTTTGGGTAATACAGACTTAAAAGTTACTGTTTGCTTATTTATTGTCCATTTGTCTGTTTGTCTACAAGGTTGGGATCTTCGCAGACGATCCTTTATAATAGCTGTTCTCTACTCTTCCCAAAATCCATCCCGAAGTCCACCCACTTGACTCTTAGTATACGATGTGCCTGTTCAGCTGGCTTAAAGCTTCACTCGTTTGATCACAGTCGTCATAAAGATCTACCTTACCTCACCAAATCCGTCTTATCTATAATCAAACTTACCCACTCAGGTCCTTCCTCCACTTTTCTTGGCCAGATAGAATTGGTTAACACTAACACGGTCACCTTAGCAGAGACTGTGCCCACCATTTCGGAACTTTTCGGTGACATTAAAGATGGTTCCAAGTAGGGAACGGGGTAGAGTGTGTCCCAGTCGCTCTGAAGAAGATACATGTAGTTGTTAACATCCAAAACAACAGGCTGACAGTGTATGAACGCATGTCTTCTCTATAATTATTTACATAAACAACACCTCATAACAGCACTCACTACCACCATCATATTTGCTTTCAGCTCCTTGACAAAAGCTGTATTCCATGAATATGTACAGTTCTGTCGCCATCGATGTCAGTACATGTCGATCTCTAAAGCCTTGATTGTAATCGCTAAGATTATTATCAACATGCTCATTGCATGTTTATGATATATGTGCGGCATTGAACATTTATTTTAAAGTAAAGAATTTTGGACTTCCCACCTGGAAAGAAAATCTTTATTGCAGTCTAACAAATCATTATTAATTAAGCTAACATGTTACAATAACTATAACTATAATATACGTAATACCAAACTCTGAAACGCGCACCAATTCCTATAATTTATCATATGTCGTCAGTTTGATAACAATGAGCCAAGACAAAAATATATAATCAAACGACTCTATGTTTGCTACTTTAATCATTCACTTCTACAAAGTTTGGTGTTATTTTTATGCACACGTAAATAGGTTCAATAAGAGCAGAGTTAAAGGGAAGTTTGCGATGTTGAAAACTTAGATGACAAAGTTGGTTGCGTGCAAAGGAAGAATAGCCACTCGTACGCTAAGAGTTTATATACAATACTGTTGGTGTCGACCTTGCGTCACTTTTTAGACGAAATAACACACTTTTCTGAGTTCCGAATATAATCGAAGTTAGCATCCAGTATTCCCAAGAAAAAAAGAGCCGGATTTTCATTAATTTTAGCTTCCAAATTTATAAAATTGTTGGCGTTGACCCCTTTGTGTCGGTATAAAACACCCGATAAAAATAAGCCATTGCATTACAATACCACTTTTAATGTGAGTGTCCACTGTGCAGTAGAGGTTCACAACTGCTCAGGTTAAAGCTGCACAAGAACCCCTAAAGCAGTTGTGTTTGTGTATGTATGTGTGTGTGTGTGTGTGTGTGTGTGTGTGTGTGTGTGTGCGTGTGCGTGTGCGTGTGTGTGTGT